GACTTCAAACTAAAATCAATCAGAAGAGATCGAGAAGGACACTTTATACTCATAACAGGAACAATTCATCAGGATGACATCTCAATTCTGAATATCTATGCCCCTAATATAAAAGCACCCACTTATATAAAAGAAATATTACTAGAACTCAAGGCAGACATCAAACCACACACACTAATAGTAGGAGACTTCAACACACCTCTCTCTCCAATGGACAGGTCAATCAGACAGAAACCTAATAGAGAATTAAGAGAATTATTGGAGGTAATGAAACAAATGGACTTAACAGACATCTATAGAACACTCCACCCAAATAGGAAAGAATATACCTTCTTCTCTGCAGCTCATGGAACCTTCTCAAAAATTGACCATATACTCGTAAACAAAGGAAATCTCCACCACTTTTTAATTACACTGTAAGTAAGCTCCCAGGGGCCCCACTGATTGTTTAGCACTGACTGCCCCCTGCTGGCAGGTTCTATAGGTGCATGGCTGCTGCTTGCAGCAAAATGCACACCTTGCCCAAGATCAGGATTCCTGACTTCACAGAGCCTCTACCCTTCTCCTAAGGGCTGTGTTTACTCAGCAAAGCTCTAGGCATCCTGGCAAGTTGTTGACCACCTGTGATGAGACCAAGTAGACAGAGTCTGCCTGTGGGAAACCTGTGCCCTCGCTGCTTACAGTAGCTGTCGCGTTGATTGGCTTTCAGAACATCTTCCTTCATCTCTATAAATCCAGGACACGTATTTGTTCTTTTTCTCTTTCTCTCTTCCCCTCCCTCCGTCTGACTCCCCCTTCTTCCCTCTCCTTCCCCCTTCCTCCCTCATTGTTCTTGCTGAAGACTTGGGCCAGGCCTTGTGTCAACAAACAGGAAAGTTGGCGGACTTTAGCTTGGCATGTTTAGCTAGTCTGAGAACAGGGGCCAGGTGTGTAGCCTCTTCTGGAAGGCCAGGCATTTCTAGATTGGGAACTCTTAAGCCCCAAAAAAGAACTTGCTATTAAGTTGGGGTTTTGTTTTGTTTTAATTAGAGAAAAAAAATCTGAGCTTTCCAAGAGAAACAGGACTTAGTGGCAATATCCACAAGGTCAAGGGTGGAATGTCAAGAATGTGAAGGGCCGGCAAGGCAGGACTTCACTCACTCTGGGCTCCCTGAACGTGGTCCTCCTGACAGCTCTGGGACAGGAGTCACAGACTCTGACTCCTCCCAGGGGATGCCGAGAGGAGGCAGATAAAGAGGTCTGTCTGTATCCAGCCTGTAAGTTAGATGCTGGTGGGAAGATTTTCTTTACAAATCATAAAACTGTGCCTCTATCTGCCTTTGCAACAAATCAGATAAAACTTATGCAGAGGCTTTAGGAGCTTGCATCATGCAAACATCTCACACTTGGAGTTGCTCCTGCTTTGAACGAGGGGAAGCAGTGCCTGCAGACCAGCAAGGAGGACACGTTTATATAGATAGGGACATGATGTGGGATGTTCTTCTGTATATGTGTTGCTCTTGTTGGTTAATGAATAAAGTTGCTTTGGCCTATGGCAGGGCAGAATATAGCCAGGATGGAAGATATATATATAGATATATATATATATCGAGAGAGAGAGAGAGAGAGAGAGAGAGAGAGAGAGAGAGAGAGAGAGAGAGAATAGGCAGAGTCAATGAGATGCCATATAGATGCCAAAGGAGAAAGATGCTGGGGCACCAGAACCTTACCAGGAGGCCACAGCCTCTTGGCAATACTCAGATTAATAGAAATGGGCTAAATTTAAGACATAAGAGTTATCCAGGACTATGCCTAAGCTATTAGCCAAGCAGTGTTGTAATTAATATAGTTTCTGTGTGATGATTCGGGTCTGTCCAGCTGGGAAACAAGAGAGCAGTCTCCTTCTACAGGGACGGCACCAGGACCAGCTGTGATGTAATAGGGCTCAATGAAGGGCAGCTACAGCGTGCAAGCAGTATTGAAGACTCGGGAATGACACTGAGGAATCCAGAGAGCCAAGGCTACCTTTAGAAAATAAAGTACAACAGACAGGTGGGTCACCCAAAGCTCACGGAGCACACCCAAGATTGCTACAGACAAAGAAACGCCCAGAGTTCCACCCACAGACCCTCCAAACCTCAGGAAGCTGGAGCCTAGAGAGAAGTTCCCTGAAGTCAGGGTGGGGGGACAGAGTTGACATGGTGACCCGTGGAAGTCCCTTCTAGGGAGAAGTGGTTCTAGCTCCATGTGAAATGGAGGCGTGGGGGGCGGGGCAAGAGGGAGCATGCAAACTGATTTCAGGGGAGCCAGCCACTTGTAGGGGAGGGGAGTATCTGATTCTCCATGGTCAAGCTGTAGTAATTTCCCTTTGTGATTTTTCTGGAATGAACTCTGGAGCGCTCAGAGCATCACAGTCACGCGGTCACCCATGGCCAATGTCTCACCAACATGCACTGCCGACCACCCCACAGCCTCCTGGCTCACAAAGCAGTTCCGGGGTTGGACCACCACTGCAGTTCCCAGCATTTACATGGGTAGTTTCTTGCTGGCTTGTAACTCACTAACGCGGCTCTCCTGGCTGGGCAGCAAAGCCCCCAAGATCCACGCATCCCCAGCTCCCCAGGGGGATACCTGTGTGCGCCACTACGCTTGCCTTTTTCCATGTGTATTCTGGGGATCGAACTCAGCTCCTCATATTTGCACAACAAGTGAGTGAGTAACACAACATCCAAACGCCACAGAAATCAAGGGATGGAAAATAATACAAGAGCCAAGATTCCTGTCGGGTGACAGTTTATTGAAAGGAAATCTTGCTTTATCCAGGAAATTACTTGCATAGAGGTAGCCGTGATAAAAGTGTCTCTTCCCCATGACAACACGTAGTAAGCAAACTTACTGAAAAACAAAAGCCCCACTGAGTATACCAATTGTCATGGCGGAATGACACATGGAAGCAGGAAAAAAAAATTATAAAAGCCATACAGTGATTGTCTTCTCAGCATTGCATTTGGCAACATGTGTTCACACAACATATTTTTAAGCTAGCTAAAGAAAATCCTCTTGAGCAGGATTAGTTCTTAAAGCAATAAACGGAAAAGCACGTATACATAAGAAACAGAGGAATGGTGACCGGGTCAGGCTGAGAAGGACCTAGGACCCTATTCCTCACCTTGTCCCAGGATGCATCTGTCAAGACTGCGGAGAAGAGAGCAGCTTGGGACTTGTGACGATCTCTCTAAATCTCGGTTCAGTGTTGTGCCACCACACACAGCCCACTTGCTGCGCACTCCAGTACAGTACAGGAGACCACGCACCTGACCCTGGCTAGCCTCCCTGTTTTGGGGGTGTCTCTGTGTTTCCAGTGGTGGCTTCCGTTCTCTTTCCAAGGGCTGTTTTCCTTTATTTCCCATGGCTACCAGAAAGACCTGACTGTAATGAGGGCTGGCTGATTTTGTCAAGCCCCAAAACAAACACCCCTTCCTCAACGTCTTGACTTTTCTTACCTGAATCTCTGGGGTGTAAGCAGGCTGTGGCATTTCTAGGCTTATTGCAAGTATGTAATGAAGGCATGAGGAGCCAAATAATTCCTGTGAGTTCTGGGGGACCAGCCAAGCAGCTGCAGGCTGTCAAATTCCCAAGAGGACAGAGGACACAAAGGCTGGGTATAACGGGTTCAGCCTGTAAGTCAATCTATCACCCACTCCTTCCTGGATTCCAGGAGGCCAGAGGTTGGTTGTTGTTTGAGACAGGGTCTCCTATGGACTCCTACATCCCAGGCTGGCCTGGAACTGAATGTTTATCCAAGGATGACCTTGAACTCTTTGTTCTCCTGCCTCCACTTCCTGAGTGTTGGGATTACAGGCACGCGGGCACCATATCTTATTTATAGAGTTGGGGATTAAACACGGGGCTTCCTGCAAGCTAGGCAAGCAGTGTTCCAGTTGAGCTACAGCCCCAACCCAACAGGCAGACGTTTTACTTCCTGACACTGTGTTTCTAGTGCCTCAGTCCGTGCCTGACACACTTTGATGGACAGTGTATATTTGTTAAATGGAGGAATTACTGAAAAGGGAAACCTCTCCATGCCCAGCTGTGTCGAGGGTGAAAGTGACCCTCATGAGGTGTAATAGAATTTGATTACACCTCCAGTAGCAAATGTTCCTCCTTCAGTTCCTTCCACTTTAAATCTGTTGGGTGACCTCTGTGACCTGCGCTGGGCAGGTCATGGCAACCTGGTCTCCAGGAGTCCCCACATCAGGAAGCTTGGAGACCCTGCTTCAACATCTGTCACCTCTGTCTTACACACATAGCCAACTTACAAGGTTCTTTTCACTGTCACAATTTGAGGTGATACAGGTAGGCCAGGAGATATGCAGGGATACCCAGCATCCTCCCAAGGTCACCTTGGCATCATGCACTTGCTCTAGGATCACATCGCCTCATTCCTGGAAACGCCCTTCAGATGGCAAGCACCCCCAATTTCTTTCCTTCTTCCCATCATTCCAAGCTCCAGCTCAACACAACTCCCCCCACCCCCTTCATGCACATCCTCCAGCTTTCAAGAACTTCTCTGTATTCCTTCTTACATCAGCTCCACATCCATGTCTTCCTGTGTTCCTTTCCCTATGAACTTCCTGGGTGCCTCCCACCTAAGCCCATAAACCTCATCTCACAGCCCCTCCTACCCCTCCAAATCCAGGCCTGTGTGAGCATCGCTTGCAGGCCTGCCATGGAGGAAAAGGGCCAATGAGACATACCAACAGGACTCCTGTCCTTTGAGAAGCACAGCACTTGTTAAAGATCTCATCTGCATCCCCACTCTACCTGCTTGAAAGAAACTGGGGAGTGGGAAGTGCTCCAAGCCTGGTTTAGATAAAATAAGCAACCAAGGACACAGACTCCGCAAAAGTCCCCTCCCTACCATCAATGAGCAGATTTCCCATACAACCCAGGGCTACCTTTCCACTGCCTGACCCCTCTGATTTCCAGAGTAGCCTTCACTCTTTCCCCGTGCCTCTGCTTTGTAATACTTGAGATCGGGTAGCTTTATATTTTAAAAGATAATCCGTATGGATGTGTGAACTTTGCAAAGATGTCACACTGCAAAGGCTCTGGAACATTCTAAAGTAGAACAGCAGCAGTCCTTGCGAAGGTCTGGTTTAAAATATGTACAGTCTATACACTTCATCCCTACATGTGGCTATCTCATTACAGCTAGCATTTTGGAACCTTTCTCGGGGCAGCAGACAGTGGTGCACAGCAGGGCTTCGTCTTAGCTGCGTTTTCCAAGTTGTCCCCATTAGGTCATTTTCAACTTCAACAGCTCCCTATCTAAGACCCAAGGTCCCTCAGCCACACAGAGGCCCTGGGAAGGAATGTGAGGTGAGTCTGACGTCATCCACAAGTCCCCTTTTGTGCCTTCTGCTCTGGATGGCTGCAGTGGGATCAACAGGCCTGGAAGCGGGCTCAGATCTGGCTGGTGATGGGGCTGTCTTTGGGAAAGGAATAGCTCAGTGGCGCTTCGTAGAGGCTTCCCCCATCACTGCTGAGGTCGTCGTCGTCCGAGTCATCCAGGACTTTACTGGGCAGCGTCTTGAGTCTGCAGAAGCACAAAGGAGATGGTTCTTGACCCTGGCTAGGGCTTGTCTCTGATTTGGAGATGGGGGAAGAGGGTCGTCAGACTCCTAACCTCCACCCCACTGCACGCATATCCATGAATTTGCCTGTACCAGGTGTTTCTCAGCATTGCTGTCTGTTGCTTCTGATTAATGTTGGGGTGGGCCACGGACAGTATAGCTGATTTCTCCTTTTGCCTAGCTCCAATATGGCTGGTCAGGGTGCTTCTGATTCACTCTGAATCTCACACACTTCTGATTTCAGAGACAGGGTCTTATGCCTCCCATGTTGGCCTCAAGCTAAGTATGCAGCCAACAATGGCCTTAAAGCTTGGATCCTCTTGCCTCTGCCTCTTAAGTGCTAAGATCCCAGGCATGTGTTAGCACACCTAGTTTGTGGGCTGCAAGGGTGGCAACCCAGGGCCTTCTGTATGGGAGACAGGTGCTCTATCAGCTGAGCAACATCCTCATACAATAACGTCTTAATGGTTTATCCAAACATTATCTTTTGCCCATGAAGTCCTTACCACTAACCTTGGGGTCAGTTCTCAGTCCATGGTAGGATTCTCAGTGAGCTGGAGCCATCTGTCACCCTGTGAGAGCTACCTGAATCGGCAGCATAGATCCCCAGCCATAGGCAGCCTCCCCCAAAGGCTGGTGTTCTGGGTGAGCATGAACTTGCACTTACCCCTCACCATGACAACCCCCACACTGGTCCTGGGAACACACCCCTCTAACCTCATTCTTCAGTTTCCCCTTAGAGGGTATAAATGAGAACTTTACTCTCAGATTGGGGATACCCTGACCTGTTCTGTGCCCTGGGTTCTGCTGTGAGCACTGGCAGGAGGACGGCTTATGTGAGGCCATACTGAACATGTAGGGTGAGTCAAGTAGACACAGCCATTTTCACCTCAAGGATAGGATGACCCCAGAGAGCAACAACGGAAAACTGGCTTGAGGCTGTAGGAGTAAGCACATTCTGAAGGCACTCTATCCGTGTCAGGGGAGCTAAGGACTTTGGTGGGCTGCCACCTCTCCTCACCTTAAGCCCTTCTTCATAGAGTTGAGCTGCCCCTGCAGCTGCTCGTTCACTCCTATCTGGTCCTCCAGCTCCCGCTGTAGCTTCTTCTTCGCGCTCTCCAGTCTGTCGATCTCCTCTTCAGCCTCCTCCACCTGGCGCTTCATGGCTTTCAGGCGTAAGCTCAGCTGTGTGAGTGAGGAAAGAGGGAGGTTGAGTGTTGGCGCTGGAAAAGCCAGAGCAGGAGATGCCATGGACGTGGCTTACTTCCCCAGGTCCCCTGCCTCACAGGAAAAGGGGGAGCATCCTGTGGGATCAGTGGAGCAGGGGACATGGTACACTCCTGCCACCTGCCCCAGCCTGGGACAGAGACTCTCACCTGAGAGAAGGCAGAGCCTCTCTCACCTGGTCTTTCTGGTCAGTCAGTGACAGATGCTCGTCATCCACCTGCATCACCAGCTCCTTCACCTTCCTCTCCAGCCTTCGGTTGTTGAGCTGCAGGTTGGCCCGATCCCTGGAAGCAGAGAAAGCAGAATAGAACACCACCTCTTATTCTTGGCCCCACAGGAAGCTCAGACTGGAAGGAGGAGATGGGACTCCCCAGACACAGGAGCCTAGTCAGCTCAGGGCCAGAGAAAAACAGCTATATGGGAAGAAAGAGCTGCTGGGATCACGGGAGGAGAAAGGGGGCCCCAAGAAGGGCAAGACTCTCCCAGGGTTGGAGGACCGGAACTCAGATGTGTCCTGAGTTCCTCCATTGCTGAGCTTAATTTTTGAAGCAAAGAGCCACAGATCATCAGTAGCTGGGGTCTGTACCAGTCAGACCTAGACTGAGACTATGTACATATATCTTAGGAACTGTCACAGAAGGTGGTGGGCGGGGAACTGACCAAGTTCACAGTGGTGCTGATCCTTGGGATTGTGATTATCTCAGAAATCATTTTGTTGGAAAGGGGTCCCACATCTTCCCTCCCCACTGAGGAAGGACCCGACCCCTTTCCTGGTATGTAGTTGGCAACTTCTGTTTGAATGTACCTGTCCTCAGGGCCACAGCAGCCCCCTTCCCCACCCCTGGCTCAATCTGGCTCCATTCTGACTCAAACTCAACAGCTTACAATGCATCCCACTTTGTTTAATAGGATGCAGACAGACAGTACCGATTGTGACCCACCCCCAAGTTTCGGTCCAGGCACAGTGCACATCCCAGGCCACCTTATCACTTACGTTGCTGGAGCTCAACGTTTCCATCTGAGAAACGGAAGCAACTGCAAGGCTGGTCTTGGCTCTACCTTTCAGGGGTGCTGAAAGCATGGGAGGAGACCCCCCCCAACCTACCAGCCCTGATGAACAGGCAGTACCTGTCTGACCCCCTGTCCTGTCCAGGCTGGGCTCACCTCTCCTCACTCTCTAGTCGGTCCTCCAGCTCTGCGATCCTGGCCTCCATCTGCACCACCAGGCCCTCTTTACTGGACCTGTAGGAACCTTCCAGGTGGACAATCCGGCTCTTTAAGTCTTTGTTCTGAAATCAGACAGGGGCCTGTGAGGGATTTGGTTGGACTCTTAAACAGGGACTTGTGAGGGACTCAGGGCCTGTGAAGAACTTAGTTCTTAGACAAGGGGACCTGTGAGGGACTCAGGGCCTGTGACAGACTTGGTTGGGCATGCTCTTAGACAGGGGGTCTGTGAGGGACTTGGCTGGGCAGGCTCTTTGGGCAGAGAAACATATTGAACCGAGTCAGGAATTTGGTCAGTGCCTAGGCACCAGGGGAATCCCAGAGATTGTACCAGGAAACAGCTTTGAACTCAGGTCTTAGCAGATCAAAGGAGAGACTCTAAGACGTTACCTTATGACCCTGGATGTAAGGGCTGGCATGTGTCAAGACCCATGGGCGTGAAGAGATGGGCATCCCTTTTCAATTTTCTCACGGACAGACTGACAGGAACAGTGTGTGAAACACTGATCTTATCGATCCTTCTCAGCCCCCCTTTTTTTAGTGGGATGATTATTTTCCATCCCCTTTACACTGGACTTGGATCTTCCCATGTTAATGACTTTCTCATTATTGATTATAGTCAGTCATTTAAAAATATTATCTTTTGATGCTGAATCCTCCTTACTTGTGGCCAGTTTCTCAGTGAGTCACCTTGTCGGCTAGGAGTCTCACTGAGCTGGAGCCTTCTGTCCAGGAACGGCTGATGTTGTGGGTGAGCATGAACTCCATCCTGTCCCTCACCTCAATGTCCCACATGCTGACCCTGGGGTAGGAGAAGCCTCTACCGCATTCCCATAGGAGAGTACTAGGAGCGGGAGGCAGGATCTCATGGAATGGCTGTCCTCACCTGTCTCTCTAGGGAAATCTTGTCACACTCCAAGTCTTGCTTGGCAGCTTTCTCCTGAAGTAGCTCGCTCCTCATCAGCTCCATCTACAACAAGCAGAGCAAAAGACACAGGGTTAAAACTTGGTTCTATTCTTTGTACTGGCATGGTTTTTATGAAGGAGGCCTGTGCAGGGTACCTACCATGCTGTTTGCTCTTGGGTATAAGACCTTTTTCTTAGATACTCTTGATCCTTTGATTGTAATAATAGTTGACTAAAAATAACAATAGTCACTGTAGCCACACCCGCTATTATATACTGAATTGTTCTCTTTCCATATTTATCATGTGGGTTCCAGGAATGGAGACCCACAAGACTTATTTGTCAGCTCTGCCTGATCTGAGGAATGCAGGGACAGTTTGCACCACAGATTGGCAGCTGGTCAATGATGCCTCTGTGCCATTCTGCAAGCCCACGTGTGCTGCACAGTCTCGTAGCTACCCTCAGGATCCACTGATGCCTGCCACAGCACAGAGACACTGCTGACATGAATGATGAAGGCATCTCCACAGGCTAGACCACCACAAACAAACCTATTTCATAGAATATAGCCCCAAATTTCCAAATCTGAAGAGATTCAAGATGTTCAAAGTATCCCAACTAGATCCACACAAAACAGATATAAAACCAAGGTTATTATAGACAACACGCCACAAATGTAAGGCAAAGATGGAATCATAACGGTAGCAAGAAGAAAGTGTCAAGTCACCTAGACTGAGGGTCTACTGATCTTAAGGCACATTTCTCAACGGAAATCTTACAGACTAGGAGTAACAGGTAGACACCTAGTACTACGCTCACAAGTTAGTCTTAATAACTGAAAGAAAGGGCTGGAGGGATGGCTCAGCGGTTAAGAGCACCGCCTGCTCTTCCAGAAGCCGTTAGTTCAATTCCCAGCAACCACATGGTGGCTCGTAACCATCTGTAATGAGGTTTGGTGTCCTCATCTGGCCTACAAGCGCACATGCAGACAGAACACTGTATACATAATAAATAAATCTTTCTTTCAGTTATTTTAAATTTTTTAAAAAGTATTTCCCAGATGAGCAGAAACAAAATTCAACTAAACCAATTCAGTCCTACAAGAAATATTCAAGGAGGCCGACACTAGAAAAGATAACGATAATCCTGAAAACATCTATAAAACCCAGCAGAAGAACAGATACACAAAAGAGAAAGGGAATCTAACATATACAGATGAGAAAAACAAATCACAAAAATAATAAAAGACATAGGAAAGAACAAATACATATAAAATAAGCAGAATGTAGTTGAAAGATGGGAATGTATATTTATCAATAACAGCCTCAAATGTGAATGTGATAAATTCACGAATCAAAAGATTAGTCAAATAGAGAAATAAAATCCAACTGTACGTTGCCTACAAGAAACTGACTTCACTGGTAGAGACGTAAAGAACTGAGATGAGATTTATGATGCAATTAAACATGAAGCCACCAAGTGGCCAGCCCTAAAAATGTACACATGCATGTAACATTAAATGGATTCGTGTATGCATACACTTAATAATAGAGGAAACACAAAAGTAGAACAATGTGGGGCTGGATAATGATAATAGGAGATTGAGGATGATCAAAGCACATACACGTGTGAAATATCACAAAATCCATTAGTTTGTACATTTAATACATGATTTTAAATGAAGTGTTAACGAAGGCCCAGTTTAGCAAGATCTAACCACTGTGAACACATATACACCCAACATGTAGACCCAAATACCATTAGATCCAAAGAGATCTCTCAGACAAAAGCAGTAGATCATCCAAATGAAAAAAATCAAACATCTGAGTTGGGCCATGCTACCGAAAGAAGGGACCTGGGGTAGTCTGAATGGAACTGACCCCCAAAAGCTCACAGAGAGTGGTACTATTAGGAGGTGTGGCTTTGTTGAAGTAGATATAATGTTGTTGGAGTGGAGGCAGGCTTTGAGGGCTTATACGTATGCTCAAGCCACTCCCAGTGTCTTGGTTCAGTTCTTGTTGCCTTTGAATCAAGATGTAGAACTCTCAGCTCCATTTCCGGCGCCATGTCTGCCTGCATGCTGCCTTCTTCCCGTCTTGACAATGGCCTAATCATCTGAACTGTAAGTGAGATGCCCCAATTAAATGTTTTCCTTTCTGAGAGTTACTGTGGTCACCACAGTACTAGAGACCCTAAGGCAGGACAACAGGAACCTTTACTAAGCAATTCACCAGCAGCCACAGGATATATATTTGTGGACGCCCTCTAGGGCAGTGGCTCTCACCCTTCCTATTGCTGCTTTAGTACAGTTTCCCCATGTTATGGTGACCTCCAACCATAAAATTTGCTGCTACTTCTATAACTATAATTGCTACTGTTATGAATCATAATGTAAATATCTGATTTGAGAACCACATAGGAGGTCTCAAGAGACCGAAAGTTTTGAAATTAGTTTTGTGTCCTCTTAGAGGTTGTGGTGGTTTGAATGAAAATGGCCTCATAGGCTCATAGGGAGTGGCACTATCTGGAGTTGGAGGAAGTGTGTCACTGGAGTTGAGCTTTGGTGTTTCAGATGCCCAAGTCAAGACCCAGTGTCACACTCTCTTCCTGTTGCCTGCCCATCCAAAATGTGGAACTCTCAGCTCCTCTCCAGGACCATGTCTGCCTGCATGCCACCATGCTTCCCACCATGCCGACAATGGTCTAAGCCTCTAAACTCTAAGCAAGCCCTAATTGAATGTTTTTCTTTATACGAGTTGCCATGGTCATGATCTCTATTCACAGCAATAAAACCCTAATCTAAGACAAATGATAATGAAATAAAATTAGAAACCAAGAAAGAGAATGGAAAGTATACAAAGAATTTAAATAACAACACCCCTAAATGATTCATGGTAACCAAAAACATTGAAATTTCTTAAAATTTTATAAATGAAAATAAAGCCAAACCAAAATCTGTAGACTAATAGAAAAGTAGTACTGAACGTAAATTTATAGTAATAAATGCATACATTAAAATAGATCCTAAGCCAGGCAGTGGTGGCACACGCCTTTAATCCCAGCACTCAGGAGGCAGAGGCAGAGGCAGGTGGATCTTTGTGAGTTCGAGGTCAGCCTGGTCTACAAGAACTAGCTCCAGGACAGCTAGAACTATTACACAGAGAAACCCTGTCTCAAAACCCCCACCCCCCAAAAGTGGATCCTAACTTGGGTAGGGTTGCACAGGCCATCCCAGCGCTGGGAGGTGGAGGCAGGAAAACTGGAAGTTGAAGGCCATTGTTAGCCTGGGCTGCAAAAGATCCTGTCTGAAAAACCAGATAAACAATGGGGCAGGAGAGGGAGGCTGCTCAGTAGTTAGGGCTCTGGGCATCCATGTCAGGCAGCTCGCAAGCAACCCCTTGCAGCTCCTGTTCCAGAGGATCTAATACCCACTCCCCCCCCCCCCGCCTCTGTGGACACCTGCACACAAATCTTTAAATAAATTGGATCTTAACCTAACGATGCACTTCAAAGGCAGAAAGCAACAACAAAGCCTAAATTAGCGGGAGGAAAATAAGATCAGAAACAAGATTGACAAACCTGGGCCTGGGAGATGACTGGGCAGGTAAAGGTGACTGCCATCAATCCTGACAAGTTCCATGTCTGGACCCACATGGTGGAAGGAGATAACCCACAATAAGTTAAAATAATACAAATGCCCAAAATTTTTTTAAGTTGACAAACCCACAAGGCTAAAGAGATGGCTCAGCAGTTAAGAGCACTGGCTCTTCTTTCAGAGGACTGGGTTTGGTTCCCAGCACCCACACAGCACCTCACAATCGCCTGTTAACTCCAGTGCCTGGGGATCTGATGCCCTCTGCTGAGTTCTTCGGGCATTACTCATATACACAGGCAAAATACTCATACACATAAAATAAGTCTTAAGAAAAATAGAAAAGAATTGATAAACCTTAACTAGATTAACTGAGAAAAAGAGATGATTCAAGTAAATCAGTCATGAAAAAAGAAACATATCACATAAATACAAACGATCATGAATAATTATATAATAAAACATTTAAAAAAAAAACTAGAGGAAAAAAAACCTGGAAAGACCTAAAATTCTTAAACACATAAAAACTGAATCAGGAAGAAATAGAAAATCTAAACTGGGGCTGGAGAGATGGCTCAGCAGTTAAGAGCTCAGGCTGCTCTTCCAGAGGATCCGGGTTCAATTCCCAGCACCCACATGGCAGTTCACAACTGTCTGTAACTCCAGTTCCAGGGTACATGATACCCTCATATAGATATACATACAGGAAAACACTAATGCACATCAACAAAAACTTTTTTAAAAGATTTTTAAAAATGAAAAAATCTAAACTAGTAATGAAGGATAAGATGGAACAAAAAAACACACAGGAAATGTTTCATGAAACCTTTCCCATCTAAAAACATCTGGGCTTTACGGCTTTTTACTGTATTCTACAAAACAAGATCTTCATGAAGGCAGCATTACATAACAAAGCCAGGCAAAGATATAACCTCTAAAACATCTCTATTATCTCTACAGAAACATAAGGCAAAAATTCCCCCATCGAATATTAGTAGACTGAATTCAATGGCACATCACAAAGCTCACATACCATAGCAGGTGAGATACACACAAAGGAAGCAAGACATGGCAGCAAGTGCAAAGCAGTAACCATGACAGGACACACAGAATGATTAGCCAAAGACCACGTGATCAACCAGACAGGACACACTGGTGGATAAAGATCATGTCTACAGACAGGGACAACACATTTGATAAGGTTCAGTCTGCTTTTGTAACGGAGGGCCTGGAGTTCAATTTGCTAACTGAAATAGAGCAGTGCAGAAAGACAAACACAATGCTATTGCTTTTGTGGCGATTAAGGGATCTGTAGAACTGAATGGAAGAGTTATCAGCATCTGAGAAGGATGGTGGGCGAAGGGGACAGAAAACTCAGTAAGGGACATGAAAACCACAAAAATACAGTCACTATCTCTGCTTCTTCCTTGGCACATAACAAGGTAACTTTTCATTTTAAAAGAGAGAACATC